TGCTTTGAGAGTGACAGAAAAGCTCTGGAAATAGTTACTTTAATAAAGAATCAAATTAATTTAACAAGAATGGAGCCTCCTGAAGCTCTACCCCGAGCATAATACATGAAACAACTCAGAGGATCAAAGTGCCCTTCTCCTTCATGGAATTCCACTTTTGCTGCTTCCAGTGGAGGCTGCACTGTGAGGACTGCTGGGACTACTGAGGCAAACACAAGTCACACGGGGCAGCATTTTTGCCGTTCTTCTTCACTGGTATCAGCTATGGGCCCCTCATTTGAGAAAAATATGTTTTAACACACACACACACACACACACACACACACACCAGCTCTGCCAGGCTACATCAGAAGGAATCGAAAGCAACAAGAGATGAGGAAGGTAACATATGGTAAAAAGACCTAAAATTAACACTGTTCCTGAAATGCTGTGAATCTCCTTTGTTTTCTTGGCTCTAATTCCCTGTCTAATCCTTTGAGAATAGGGGAAGTCAACAGTATCGTAACCCCGTAAATCACAGTAACCACCCTTTATACACTCTTCATCTTCCCACACAGCTCAACTTTGTATTTGCACTTTTTTACAGCAATAGGGAGGAAAAACTAATATATTTGGACAGTCAGGACTTTCACTTGAATTAGTCAATGATGAGATAATTTATAGTGTTCTAGTGTCCATGAGGATACTAATTTTTTTAATATTACTACTACCATGGCCTTGTTTTAAAGACTGTACTGCTAGTGGACACCAGCTTCTCTTGGTCTCACTAGTAATGCTTAGTGGGAAGCAGCTTAGTGGTTTCTCCTGAAGGCTTGCTTCTTACCAAGAGATGGGCTTCAGGCAGTACAGATAGACCTAGTGCCCTTTGTATCCCACCTCATGCCCACAGTGACAGTAACTTTTCAGTGAGAGTGAAATGCTTGTGCTGCTGGCCCTGCTAGAGGCAGAGATTGCATGCTGCACCACCAGCTAGAGTGGTAAACCCTGGGTCTTTAGAGTATATCTACATCTACACGAGGAGGCAAGAATAGGCTTCAGTGTATCATACTCCATGTCCAAAGCACTTTCCACCTCAGCAAGAGCTGAGTTACAGGTAGTGCTAATGGAAAGGACAGCGTCAGGCTCAGCCCAGCCCGCACCAAATCTGTCCTTGTTAAAAAAATGAGATCACGCTGCTTGTAATAAAAGATGGATTGCTTTGGGTTCTCCCTGACCAGCTCTGCTGCTGTAACCGTGCAAGAGGGGGTACAAATTGTTAAACATTAAGGCTTAAATAAGCTGTGTGGCAGAGAGCCATAGATTTTACAGCGATATTAGAGCATGCCTGAATGGATGCTGGGTCCTTACTCTCCGATATACCATGGCCAAGCATGAGAGGCCACACAGGGCTCCCAGGAGCTCCCAGTGGAGCACTGGCCCTTGCTATGAACTCTACGAAACTGCAATTAAAATTGAAACTTTCATATCATACAATGCCAGAAGAAAAGGAGAAACGAGTACATGAAAAGTGAAGAGGCTACAGAAGAGCCTGGAGAAAGAAGAGAACAGACATTATCTCCACTAGAACAGGAAAGTGGTAAAAATGCAGTAAGATCTCTTAAAGCTTTTCTGGATGAGTTTCCAATTACTGAACAATTACTGATTTGTGACCAAACTTAGTTCCATCTACAAACATATTTATATTGGTGCCCATGGAGCTGATCAATTATTCAGTTTCTCATTAGCAGAGCTATCCCTCCAGTCATTAGCTGTGTATTCCTTTACCCCCATCAGAATTGAGTATTAAAATTACTAGTCTTGTGGAATACAAAAAAATGAAGAATACAGATCTGATGTGCAAGACTATATTAAAAGATTAGGCAGCAAGAGTTTTATTTATATTTCCATGGTTTTTAATGGAGAACATAATGTGCTGTTCACAGATCACCCTTCTTCTGTGGGTCAGTCTCATTTAAGAAGGTGATAGAACATACCCCTTCCTATAAAATCTGTTCCAGTAACAGCATAATTAATGCAGTTGCTACTTTAGATACAACATGCAAAAAATTAGCTCATGTAACATTTTTCAATATATGTAAATAAACGTTCATACATGTGTCCTGGTTTGTTGGGGTTTTTTTTGTTCAAGTGTCTCTGAACCTTTTTCATTGCTTCTTTGCTTCTTGTATGGCCACCTGAGCTCACATCTTTCTCTTCCATCATTTCAGATCCAGAAAAATGAGAGAGAAAGAGACAGAGGGAGAAAATTATAAAACCAGAAAGCAGGAAAAAAAGGAGTTAAAAAAAACAAATTAAGATACATTGAAAAAGTGGCTTGACTTACCATTTTACATGAGCAGAATGATTATCAAAGGGTTTAACTTTGTGCAGCAAACTATACGCGAGTAAGGATGCAGTACGACCTCTCCTCATGTAAACGATGCTTTGGATTGTTTCACATCTTTTCTGTCTGGATACAGGGAGAATGTGGGTGTCTTGGTGTTAGGGATGAATTTCCTCTCTTGCTCCTCCTGTCTTTTCTCTTTGTTATTTAATAAAACCTTCTTTCTTCTTTCAAAATTGCATGGATTTGTTGATATCTTCATAAATATGTATTCACTGTAAGTATTTTCCCACAGCATTGCATATTTAAAATCTATTGTGAAACTTTATGCAGGAAAAAAAAAATCAGGAGCTACTGGGGTGGAAGCACATTTATTATTTCACAGAATAGATACCACCAACTTCATCTCTGTATATGGCCATTACATACGGGAGATCTGTGACTCTGAAAATCTTTCTAGACTCTTCAGTATTTCTGTATATATTGCAGGTAGAAGCCACACACACGAGCCTGTGAAGCTCAGAAGAAGCACAGGTGGAAAGTAGATAAATGCAGCAAACTACAGAAAGTCAGAAATAGTCACCTTAAAATGGACTTAATAAAACAGAGGGTGCAGTAGGGATAGAAAAAAACCCCAGGCTTTATAAGCCTTCATTTGCTCTGTTAATCAGCATTAAAATGAAAGTATTATGGCAATCTACCTGGTGGAATAAGTAAATTTTTGCATAAATTCTTCAAATCTTCATATGCTCCTATGGACACTATATGTAATTTCATCATGTGTTAAAAACTTAGCCCTGGCCGTTCATTTTCTTTTCCCAGTCATGTATTTACAAGTTTATTAAGTTATTAAAATAACAGAATACGCTTTATAGTAATGTTGGGAGACTTTGAACATATTAGCAGGTCATCACCTCACCTCTTTTTTTTTCTGATTTCTCTTTTAAGGAAGGGAAATCTAGAAAGTGGGGAAAGACCAATTAGTGAGTGTACCCTCATCCTGTACTTGGCTGCAGAACAAAAACGGGAGACTCCAGGTCTTCTAACCGCAAGTTTTGTACCTTGCCTCTAGACAGCAATTCACTGCTGAGCTAAAGGCATGAAAAAGTGATTTGGAAGAAGAAAGGGCTTTGTTCGTCAAAGCTTGTACTTAGCTAACTAGCTGCAGCTAGGTTTGCTACACAGCTGTATTCGGTAACGTCAGTGGAAGGGCGCCGGCTTGGGCAATTTCCATGCCTGTATTCAGCACTAAGGGTTCTCTTCATAGTTTGGCCTGAGACCTGAAAGCTGAGTGTGGACATGAACCTCTGCACTGCTCTGGGGCTCCACAGACTCCAAAGGTAGACACTTATGTAATTTCTATACTGTCTGTTGCCATAGCAACAGAGGTTGGGGTTTTCATCAAGTGATGCTCAGTGTGCCGGTACCCATCCTGTGGCTATGTGGCTCTACCGAAGCCTCTGAGAGCTTTGTCATTGACTTCACTGGGGTCAAGATTTCACTCCAAATAAAGATCCAGCCCAAAGGCACTAGATACAGCTTTTTAATGAAATCTTAGAGCACAAGAGTCCTTGCTGCAGCCTCAACTTTTAGTTTAAAGCACTTCACTTCAGATAATTTACTTCTGCTGTCAGGAAGTACCACTCTTAACCCTGAGGTAATGATCTTGCTTCAGTTTAGGTGCCTAATATCATGTGCCAGCTTTTTATCTTCAAATATCAAGTGTATTTTCACTGCATCTCTTTCACAGGCTACGTAGGTATGATGCTATGCAGTAAGGAGAAACAAAATGTGTGATTTTTTAATTACTCTTCTGCTCTTCTATTTTTTAATCTCCAGATGGTCCCTGGAACTGGTGATGTTTTCTTTAGTCTATATATTTCCTGCTTTAATTATCTTACTTAACCAGCACACGTTTGAGAGACACACACGTGATCAGATAATATCAGGTGCTAATGTTTAATTGCTTTCACAAAATTAGAAGCAGATAAATGGTTGAACCGTAATTGAACGATCTTATTAGAAGACAAGCTGATTGGTGTTGTGACATAACTTGAGAGATTCCCAGGCTTGCATTAATTTCGTATCAGCCGGGGCTGCTGTGACGATGGCAAGCACAACGTGGTTGCTCTGTTAGAGAGCAAGATCCGAGTGGGGTGACTGAGATCTGCCATACATCAGCATTTGTGACAGTTGTGTCGCTATCTAAGAGCAGAGAAGCAAGCTATTCCTTTGATTTACCACCTCCCAAGAAAAAAAATGCAGCAAACAGTCCTTTCAGGGGGATTTCGAAAAAAAGACGTATCCCTCTCCAACCCAGCCCCTTCCCAGCATGTGCGTCTGTGAGAAAGGACAAGTGGCCACCAAGAGCACTGGTTGCTTCGGGGGCGTTGTTGGGAAATGCCAGGTAGGTAGTGCCAAGAGCAGTGGGGATCTGACACACATTTATATGGATGGGCTGGCTGAAGCAAGTCCGAGCCTTCTACCTCTTGTACCAAATTCAAGTATTTTTATTGCTTGTTGAAAGATCTGAACGAAGTTGAGTGAAATTCTCAGAATCTGCACCCTGTTTTACCAGATGGCTGCCATTAACCAGTGAATGGGAATGTCTGGTTTTGGCGTGGGTGTAGTAATTTTACCTCGGTGTTAAGATGGAGAGGAGTCATGCAGTACTTACGGGATCCCTTTTTACAAGGCCTGGGTTAGGCACAACAGCAATGAGGTGGGCAATTGTAAACACGGAGTTCAGCACATAAGAAAAAAACAAATTCTTATGCAGTGTTATCCTTTGGCAGCTGAGGCTCCTGAAAAATATGTAGCACACGTTGTAAATTAGTATTTTTCTTCTGATGTCACTTTAACAAGCTCTTTCTGGCAACAGTCTCTCAAGAATGCCTTTTGGCAAGGCGTAATCAGAATGCCTTGCACTGCAGCCATAACCTCTGACAAATTTTTGGTTTTGTTTTTACACCTGTTTAGTACCACATGCTTTTTAGACCATGTTGTAAAGAGCCATCCAGCTACATTCTCAGACCTTGATGCCTTTCTTTATTTTATGGCAATCAAGATATTAAGTGGTGAAGCAGAACCCTGAGAATTTAGATGCGCATGATACAACTAATGAACATCAGGAATAGTGCTTTATAAGTAGCTGTTCCCTGGAGATTCGATTTCTCAAATATTCAGATGAAAATATTTGCTACTTTAGGAATTAGTGGTGAGACATGATGGGAACTTTGGGCAGGAATCCCCTCAAATTACAGGGGGATTTGGGTTGGTATCCTGCATGTTTTTAACTGCAGCTGAGATGCCAAACTAGAAGAGGTTGTTTTCCTGCTCAGAAGGAGCAACAACCTTTTTCTGAAGGGCTAATTTTGGGGAGGGTAGGATTCCTGCTATTGCAGGTAGCAGAATTTCACAAAAAAAGTTCACAGGATTCTTGTGCAACCAAATCATGACTGTGGTTTCATACCTGAACTGTCTCCCCTTTCTAATTCATACCCAAATCCTCATGGCACCTCCCCAGCTACCCCTGACTCAGAGAACAAGGCCCCTGCAGCGTTTCATGCCCCGGAGCACAGCCCAGAGCTGGCAGGAGGTGATTGCAGGAAGGCAATCATGGAATTTTTAGATAACACCTCGATGTCTGTATTCAGTGATCACTGAGAGCAAGCAGGCAGAACGGACAGGTAAAAACCAGCTAAGAGCAAATATCACTGTCTCACTGAGGCAAGCCTCCCCCTCGGCAAGAGGAGTCTTTTGCAGTCTGGAACGGAGCACAGGCTGTGATGTTCCGATGCTCTGCATGTGGAGGCTAGCACAGAACGCACTTTCTTTAAAAACAGAGAACCTAATATAACCAACTGAACTCTTTTCTGCTTATTTTGCTTGTTTGTTTGTTTATTTGTTTTCCTCTTTTAGCCCCTTGGACACCTGCCACTTATTCTTAGTTCTCCTTACACCTGTTTTCTGAGTCATTGGATGGAATTTGTCCTTCAGCTTGAGGTCATCTTTCTGGTTACGGTCATCATCACCATGTAATGCTCATCAGTTTTGTTGACCTCCCTATTTACCAAGACACCTTCTCTGGTTCAGGATGTCTGTGAGATGCAGGTCCCGGGGGCTAGGAATGAGAGTATCACTTGCCCTGATTTTGTATTCTTCCTTTAGCATCATCTATTGGCGGCTGTTGAGCACAGATATGGGGCTAGGCACTCTTTCGGTTTCATCCACTATAGGACAGGGTATTGGGCAAAACAGATGGTTCTTTGGAGCTATTTTTCCTACGCTGTGTTCTTGTGCTTACTCCATCTGTATTTGCCCCCATCACAAACCCAACCTCATGTTCCTTTTCTCCTCCTAAGCTCTGGTGGTATTTGTCCAGTCCTGATTCTTCCTTTCTCCCCATTCTCCATCACTATACTTTGCCTATGAGCCCACTTTTCTTGGGACACTATCATGTGCCCATCTCCCTCTGTCTTTCTCTTGCAGTCCTGGGAACAGGACTGGTGCAATGCCAATCCTGTTCCCAAGAAATAAAATTTTCACCTCATGGCCACAGAGATGCAGACACTTGTCTCTCCAGCTGCCTCTCTACATGACTACCAGTACAGAGAGACAGTCTTCTGTGATAATCTCTGCCAGGTACTGGTACCTCCACTCTCATTCCTGTCCTTCCTCACTGCTCCACTTGACTTCTGCCAGTCTTACTCCTCTATTAAATTGGACTGTCCTTTGCTGCATGTTGCTTTCATCTGCTGTCCAAGCTCCTTTCCCTGCCTGCTTTCCTCTCTTAGTTCTACTCCTGCATTGCTCTTCTACTTTCCTCTCTGTATTCCCCACCTTTTTTACTTGACTCCAGCTTTCATGTTAAAGACCCGTCTGGATCATTAAGGATGTATTTCCATACCCTCACTTTTTAATTTGACCTTCAGTGTTTGCCATCAAAATGGCATCAGCACCTGCCTGACTCAGTCCACACTGAGAGGAGAGCTTTCTAGCAAAACCAAAGTCCTTACTTGATTCATCCTTTCTGCTGGTTTTGACAATCATCTGTAATCTTCTCCTTCTATGACCTCTCTTAGCTCTCTTCCTGGCCCTTTTCCTAATTTCCTAATCATTCCTTTGTGGTGTTTTTGAAGGCTCCTTGTCACCCCCCTCCCCTGCATCTTTCTGTATGCTCCCTACTCTGCTTCATTAATCAGTATGGAAGAAGGCATCACTAAGCCAGTTATCACAGTCTGAAACTTGTGAGGTTTTTGTGTCACTATGCCTCTATCAGTTGTGTCTCTTTCTCATGGCTCCCCTGTGCTTCACATTTATCCCACATTTCCCTTGACAGAGGTAGATCCTCCTATCTGCTTGCAGAGTCACCCTTACTTTTGAGTTCCTATCTCCACTTCTCCATTGCATCTAGGATATTTCGACTTCCAAGGAGCTTTTAGCATTATTTTCTTCATAGATCTGTGCTGTGCATCTGCCATTTCTTCTCATTCATGAGTACCAAGAACACTGATTTTCACCCCCAGCCAGTTATTTCCATCTCCTACCCACTTATTTAATTTTCAAATTATTTTCATGCTTTCTACCTGCTCTCTCTTACCCCTGGGGGAAAAATCCCAATAAACTTCCACAAATCATCCTTCTACCCATTATCCTTCTTCAACTCCCTTTAAAAGCCTTGGCAACAATTAGACTGCAGGTGCATTCACAACACAACATCTTTTATTCTGGCAAATCCAGACTATTGTACTCCCCATCTGTCTTTACACAAATGTCTTTGTTTTGATAATTCAAATGGAAGTGATTTGGAGCTAGGAGTCCATTCTTTCTTTTGTGTTTTAACATATAAGATAATGGTGTATGTTTGCCATTATAAAAAATATTGCAGCAATGTGACGATGCATGTAGCTGTTAGACACTCTATGAAAACCCTGTCTCCGGTTATGAGCTAGCATTGCTTAGTGATGCTCATTACTACAGATTCAGTATTCCCTTCTGAAAGTACAGCAACATCTGTGATGCCAGATCATTATGAATCTTGATACCCAAAACTGGAGGGAAAATAAATCTCTGCCAGGAAAAAATTATATGTGGGAAACAGCAATCTCTGCAAGCTGTTTATTGCTGCCTCTGCAGTCAAAGGCTATTAAACAGCCCCGAAACAATCTCTTGCTATCTGATTGACTGTTTGATTGACAGCTTGCCTTCTATTGAAGGTCAAATAATCTATTGCTGTCATAGCCAGATGATAGAAAACAACCAAAGGTAACATGAACCCTGCTCCCATACAGCTTTATTCTCACTTTCTTATGGTTGTGGTTTGGTTTCCTCTTTGTCCTCCCATTTTGCAGTGCTTTGTTTTAATTCCTTTCTCTACTTCTTCCTGTAACCTTTGTGTCACGTATTAGTCATGGAAGGGGAAGGAGAAGCGGAGGAGGAAAGAGAGGCGGAGGTGTGTTACTGTCTGGGAGGCTGCTGCAAAGATGAGTCTTTCAGCATGGCCTGGGACCGGTCAGGGTCATGCGTTGTCCATGACTCAGAGCCAGGAGTGAGTCAGACAGCCTGATCCTGGCTCACGCGCTGAAAGGAATCACCTTCTTGGTCCATTTGGGGCAGTCAGTTTAACCAGATCCTGTCTTTACTGTCCCAAAGAACTTGGAAGCCTGGGTATGCAATTCCAAATCAGAATAAACTGTGCTCTTCCCAGTTTTCTCAAAGCATTAGTGTGGCTGTGGTTTTGTGCTCTTTATCTTTACATAGATGGGAAGGGAATTAATCAGTTTATTGGGCAGAGTTTCTAGCTACCTCTGTATCTTATTACTGCACGTTATCATGGTCACTCATCAAACCACCTCTCTGGAAATTAGCAGAATTTACAACCTGTGGTTTGGATCCACCTATTTTGAGCTTTTAATCTTATAGTCTATGCAAAGCCCAACAATTTCGTTTTCCTGTTTCCTAGACTCACTCTTCGCGGTGGTGATGTCGGGGGCTTGTTCTTTTACTACCCTTCCTGTCTGACAATTGAGGCACAGACATCTAACGGTACAGCCCTAAGACATATGCCACTTATTCTGGCCTCTCCATTTACTATGCCTACCCTTTGCCAGCCTATATGGACACCCTCACCCACGGTGCACCTTTCCAGGGAACAGCAGCAGATAAAGTAACCAGGCAGAAGCTTCACATAATGTTACTAAGAAAACTAGTAAAAAATTATTAAGAAATTTAGAAGGCACACAACCTGAAAATATTCATAGATATGTAGTACATATAGATCAAAACTGGGACTAGAAATAGGCTAAGGTACCTCATGTAAGATTTAGATTAAATAATGCAAGGACTCTGAGGCTAGAACTGACTTAATCACTGGCACAAAGCATCTGGGGTTTTATGGAGCACCTTTCATTGCAGATTTTTAGAGCAAGGCATCCATTCCTTGAGCACTAGGGATGGAAGTTCTCTTTATTCCCCAATTTATGCAATTACTATGTGTGTGTAAGCTGGAATTTTGTGTTTGCTGTGTACTGATGAATTCTACAAATCTTCATATGTGTATTTGTAGCCAAAAAAACACATCTCAGCAGAAATTCAGATAATGAAGCTGATGATACCTCACAATCCAGCATGTAAAGTTTGTCACATTGCATTGAAGTTTTTCATATATGCTGCAGAACATTACATCTACCAATTCCAAGACACTTAACAAATGCCAGTTAGTTTAGACACATAAAAACTCTGTACTAAAAGAGACATAGTAAATATTTAAAACTAAATGGTCATGATAGAAAATGCACTGGGTGTACTTCATTACGATTCCTTGGCCTTACAGGTGACAAAAAGGAATAGCTGAATGCTTACAGAAATACCCTTTGTTTTAAGTTAGGGCTGCAAGACAAAGGAATAGAAAAAATGACCATTTTTCCCCTTTTGAGACTTGGAAATTTCAGTGGGGAAAAACTGCTTTGGAAGATAAAGGTACTACAGAAAATGAATCCTGGTCTTTTTGAAAATAAGGCATACATACATTCATGATTTGGCATGAGTGGGAGGGTGTTAATTTAGAACCTGCTCATAATTCACGGTTACTATTTCAGTCATTAAGATCTGAAAAAAAACCCACGTGATATATTTGTTAAATTTGAGTTGGGAGATTTGGGGCTTATTTTTGGCTTTCATTGTTCTAGAAACATCAACTAAATAGAAAGAATGATAAATTCTGACCTGTATACAAAAGTCATGCTCTTTATCTGTCTGCTGGCAAGAAAATTAATCCCTAGAAGTAGTCCACACTTCTGGAATGCAAGTATGTCTTTTAGCTACTGAAATAGATTACACAAAATAATATAATAGATCTTTCTATGAGGATGATGATAAAGAAACAAAAAATTGTATTTTGGATGCTTATCAAGGGCTCAAATCTGTTGACATTCATGTACAAGGAAGCTTACTAATACTCTCACATGGGCCTATTTGTGTTCTGGCATAATTTTAGTTTGAGATAATTTCTTGCAAGCTAAATTATAATCTTGAAAAAGTGCACTCTTACAATGACAATGGTGACGGACTTTTAATTACTACAGGTTGCCATTTTTGTGCAACTATTCTTTCTTAAACTCTGTAAAGAAGCTTGTGAAGAAAAAAAGATTTTTTTTGTTTTTTTCTTGTATTCTTGACCCCTCAAAGAATATGGCATTCTTTTAAGAGTTTGGTTTTTTTCTGTATTCTTGAATGAGGTCGGGTTTTTTGGCAATAAAAGTCCATCAGGTTATAACTCTGTGCATTATTTATTCAGAAGCATTTGTATTTTTTCTTATATTACTCTCACTTTGGTTCCCAGTGTGCACTGTGGGGAACAGTCCTTTGTATCCTTGGAAACCCTTATCCAGGTAAAGTTGAAAAACTACCTGGCCTTTTAGATTACCTTGCAGTTATCTCCAGATATCACCCATTGATGGTGAGCAATTCCCTGTCTCTGGTCATGAACTGATGGTCTGGCTATCTGCTTACAAGTAACTGAGGCACCTTTCCCGAAATCAGTATGATACCATCCCGTTTGGATAATTATACTGGATGTATCATTTGGTTTCATCAAAGTATCTGCGAATGGATATTACAACCCTGATTTTCTGTGTGCTATCAGTCCAGGAAGTTTGCGGATTATAGTAATGTTATGGAAGTGAAATACCTTAAAAAGATTGCTTAAGAGCTAGAAGAATATAGCTTATGCAAGTCATAGCTCTGGACATACAATAGCTCAGGATCTTGTCCAGTGTTTATTCTTGAATATTTTCCCTTTTGATGCCTTTGATGTCTTCTACTGCTTACCATTTCCCTGAGCTGAAAACCAAAGTCTGCTCCCAGACAGCCCTTCACTACTGGTTGCAACTGAAGCTGTGGCTACGTGTCTGAAGGCAAATCTGAGCTCCCCCTGCTCCTTCGCTGCAGACACATTATAATAAACAGTGTGCAGACAGGTTCACTAAAGGACAAAATTTAAATGCTCTAGTTAAGATGCCATACAGTAGCTGCAATGCTTTCAGTGAATATCAATTTAGTCTCCTTTAAAGTTTGGATGCAGCACCTTACTGTTTCTCCTTTTAATGATGATGACAGGCTACACACTAGTGTCAGATTCACACTTAGTGCTGAGTCCTGTAAGCACCTACTCAAGTCAATAGCTCAGTCCTTCAGCACTGGACGAAGGGGCTCCTGTGCTTCAGGAGCTGGGGGCTCCAAGCTACTGCCCCGTGCAGTCACTGCTCCTGCCAGGGCCTGGATGTGCCCTTCAAGGAACAACAGGCAGCTGGTAAACGAAGGGCCTTACCACATCCCCAGTTACACCATTTCCCTATGGGCTGCACTTTTACAGCAGTCTTGATAAATATAATAGCATGATTTTGGCTACACACCACTGGGAGATGTCCCACTGGTGAGACAACCCTGTGCTGAGACTTTTTTACCAGGGTTATATAAAAGGGCACTCAGAAGAGCTCTTTCTCACTGCCATGTCCCCTTCCAAGCTTTTCTTTGGTTACCACTTGAGATCCCTCAGGGAAAGAAGAGAGAGCATATGTAAGAAACACTTACTTGAAATAGAAGAAAATTGCCAAGGAAATCAACAGGGATGTTATAGACAAAGCATGGCCAACGATCGCCATATAATAAAGTATGAACGCCATCTGCAATTTAACAAAAAAAAGGAAGTCAAACATGAACAATTTGTAGGCACTCAGGTTTTTTTCTCATTGAAGAATCAACAAAATCAACCTCCCATTTTGTATTTCTTTTATTTCAAAGGTTCTTTTTCAATACACATTTAATATCAGCAATCTATTAAATAGCATGACTCATGGTCTAAAGATGAGATAAGTGAAGTTACATGAGTCGATCTTTTTCTGCTGCACTGAAGTAACTGGTGAGATCCCTGCTCCCACTATGCATCGCTAACTTTTCCGAGCTCTAGGAGAGCACAGCAGACATAACGCATTCAGATTTTCAAAAAGTCCATGACAAGTTTCCACACCAAAAAAAAAAAAAAAATTAAAGAAAATAGGCTGCCACAGGATTGGTAGAAAGCTTTTATGGTTTGAAAACAGCTTAAACAACAGGGAACAAAACTTAATGGTCACTTTTGGAGATGAGTTAGTGTTAGGTACCCTCTGGTCTGGTATCAGAGCTGTGGTTTTGTTCAGCATTTTCATCAGTGAACTGATGCAGAGAAATCTCTACGTTTCCAGGTGATCATTAGGTCTTCCAGATAATAGCGAGGGACTGCACAAGGGCCTCACATAACTGAGGGGACAAAAGGTCTAAACCCTGAGTATGCAATGCTGAACTCAGAACTAGAAACCAAACTCAGGAAGGAGATCTTGGAGTCATCCTGGCCAGTTCTCTAAATCATTGGCTTACTGTGTAATGACAGTCAAAAAGTCAACAAAATTTTGGATATCATCAGGAAAGGCACTGAGGATAGAACATCATTACGCCTCTGTTTAAAATGTACATTGTGCATCTTAAATGCATGTGTGTTTCTAGTCTCCACACCTTATGGACATGGCAGAGCTAGGAAAGGTACAAAGAAGGCAACTAAAATAACTGAGGCAGAGTAGCTGTGCTATGACAAGTGGGTACAAATGCTGGGATTCTCCCCTTTGGAGAGAAGAAGTCAGAGGGGACTTATGGTTAAGGCTTACAGAGTCATAAAAGCAACAGATGAGATGAAAATTATCCTCAACTCCTACCACACTACAACAGCACACCCTGAGACAAATTCTTGCTACTGGGCAACTAGACGGTCTTCCAGACTAGTATCAGTGAAACCTAAGACAGGCCTATCCATGTTTTGTACGCCAATAGTGAAACAGAATCGCACGACAGCACCTGGACTGCAGAATGCTGTGATATTTAAATGTCATACTTTGGTCTCAGCCAAGCTCTTAAGCATCATCGAGCTGTCAGAATACTGCAGGAGGCTAAATGGCATGCCAGGCTTCACCATTGCCTTCTTTACTAAAAGTACTAACATAGGATCAGCCTGTCCTGAAAAAAACACTAGCTAGGAGGCCTTAGTTCCTCCGCGGGGTTTATTTCTTTTCAGCTCCACTCCATTCATTTCTCTTGTTACGCATGAGCAATTTTCCTTTTTTTGACAATTAAATGAACTGTTTTCTGCAGCCCTAAGTTTTGCCACTCCCATTTTTTGGTGTTTCCAAGTAATTTTAAACTTCAATTTGAAAACAAATATGAATAAAATTCAGAAAACAAAGCCATTCCTCTTAGAAAAGGTGCACATCTTATCTAATTTGTTCTTCAGTCGACAGCTTTGGAATCATCTCCTGCTTTCATTAACCTAAAGTGGTAGTGGCCTGATTCAGATTTAAACCAGTCACATTTACACCATCTTGACGATGTAGAACAGACATGATCTGAGTGTAAATATCATTCACCAAGTTATGCAAATCTATGCATATATACTGCAAATATCCTAGGTCTCCTAGTTTTCCTTCACAAAGACTAACCACAACATTGCTAGTGAGTGCAAACACTTGACAACTTGTTCTGAGAGCACCAGCAACCCCAGAGAGGGAAGACCAGAGTGCAGAGAAAATAAGGCAACTTGCTGAAAATAGAATAGTGGGAGAGGTTTTTACCTGTGTGCATGTGACATTTCTTCCACTCCATACTACGTGGTTGCTATGTTTTTTCATGATATTACATTGATATAATTTTTAAGCCTGAATTTAATTTACATGAACTGTTCAAATATACATTGTTTTGCTGCCTGTCCTGTATACAACCCTTAGCCTGAAGCAGCTAGAGGAAAGGCTTCCAGATAGCTGCATCAAGTCTGTGTGCACCCCAGAGGACTCTTGGTTATTCAAGCTATCCACCTTTTAGCATACAACTGCTAAATCAGTTTAACTGTATATCTGGGGCTTAGCAATAGCATTTTGGATTATTCCACGTAAACTTACTATGGTAACTGCTCAAAAAAGCATTCCAAATATAACAACGACGACAGATCAGAATGGACTGGACTGTCAGCTAACAAAGCATAGGGTCTGCCACTGCATTTTTAAGAACTGGCTGCGATATATTTTTTTTTAAGTGAGCTGTCTCAAAAGTATAGCACATTGGTATTTCCAATTGCTTCAAAAAAATAATGAACTATATTTTTAAGTTCTGCACTCCATAAACTGGCAAACTGTCATGGCCCTTCTGACGTATAGGACTTATAACACACTGACTCACCAAATTTTTAGCTTATGCAGATTTTGTCATCCTGGGCTTAGAAAACTTCTAAAAGAATCACTTAAATGTTCTTTTTTGTCCCTCTAGAATTCTTTACTTGAGGAAAGACAATTCTTTAATACAAATACCTCCTACTCAATTATATTATTAGTAGGTACATGGAAATAGTCTACAAATGAAGCATACTCCTGTTTTTGAAGACCTGGATTAGAGGTCATAATCTAACTTGGCATTTCTGTAAAGATAGATTCTTTCCACATTTTCCATCATTTTTTGTTTCAGAAAAATCTTGATGTACGTATAATTTTCCTTTGTGTTCTATCTGCACTTTGTTTGAATGATGTTCAAAACTGTTTTTCTGGAAGGCATGGATAATAGGTAACAGAACTACATTTTTGCCTCCCTACATGGGCCAACATCTGGAAAAATGATCTTTTTATGGTGCTTCCTTTTAATGCCTCTGTGAGCTCAGACTGTTGCTATTATTCTCTCTTTGTCACATAGGTGAGCCCCATTTTACCATGATGGTTCCTCACGCTGCAAAAACTTTCAGAATTCACCTCCTGCCTAGTCTAGTAGACTTGTCCAAGGCCCTCTGGGCTGGACCATTACTAAATATAACCACATACTGCTTTTTGGCTGCATAAAAAAAAGATCCTCCAACACAAACCCCAAATCAAATCACTTTTTGACTCTTTTCCTTCCACAATTCCAAATAGTCACAAATTATTCTGTTGCAAATCTGTAATCAGATTTTCCTGGAGCTTCACTCACATTTGAGAAATATGTTTATTTTCACGAGGTTCCTAACTTACTGGGTTTTTTAAGGTTTTCTCAGATTTCTCTCTCCTTGTTTCTTTTGGTGCTTTTATATTTAGTTCTCCTTTTTCAGCTTAGCAACTTGATTTTGGAAATATTTATGCAAATACCTAATTCACTATTGTAAACAGTCTCAATTATTTCCATCAAACCGTTGAAGTTAAATGTGTTCAGGCTTGTAGTGTTTTCTGGATTAATGGTACCTTCATAAATATTTCTTTTCAAAGGCAGTAAGTACAGGGTGATATTCTTTGCTTAAGAAAAATAATTTTAACTTATGTTAATATTTCTAGCCTGCAGAGAATGTATCAACAGCTTGGAAGATACTTGTTACCGAAAGGAAAATTGAAATTCTAAATGATCATTTTATAACTGTTGGACAATCAGTGAAAATCATAGGAATTAAAAAATGGATTTGAAAAACACTGCAAAGCTTGTGACATGAATTGCTACTAAATTATCCATCCTGTAGCAAACCTATATTTAGGTTTGAGCACTCATCAAATAATTTTAATAAGCTAAAATCAGGAGGACAATGCTATTAAATTCTTGTGCAACAAATAGAGCTGAAAGATGAGAATTGTTCTGATCATTCTCATGTGTCTTACTGCTACCCCAGCCCAAAACCATTCCCAAACAATCACGGCCTTTTTAAGTGTAGCATACCTTCAGTTTTTCAGAGGTGAAGGAGTTGCACAGGGTATAGTTGGACCAAGTTCGGTTGCTCTCAGGATGGCGGAACCAGTTTCCAGTTTCATCACAGTATTTTGAAGCCCTCTCTGATGATAAATTGAAATAGCAGATATTTCAGCACATGCATATTACACATTTAAAAATCCATAACAAAGAATTTCTATGTTTGGAAATAAAATGCCTGTGTATCAAAATCCAAAGGATTTTCAACTTGTGCAATTAATATACATTTGTCTGGTTTGGTTTTGGTTTTCCTCAGAGATTTATCTGATGGTGTACTTGTTCATCTGTCTCCTTTTGTCTTGAATGAATGTAGTTGAGTCTATATACCCAGCCTTCATTCAGATGCAATTATTTATGTGATAATAATTCACTTAAAGAGGCTGTTGAAAGCTGTTTATGGGAGAGAAACTAACGTTGGGCCCTGCTGCCAAACCTGATGGAAGTGTGCACAGGCAGGCAAATGCAGCGGTGTCTGCATTTCATTAGTTCTTGTCCCAACCTGCAACACTGATGTTGGAAAATGGACATGCCCACTGGCTAGCACACAAATCTTAACTTCTGGTTTTTAAACCTGACACTCGCTAGGACATGCTGGTATCCATACACAGACGCTCGTGGACTGAATCTTGCAGCAGGGTTTCAGGCATCAAGGGAAATAATTAGTTAAAAATACCGCTTAGAGAAAGGGCAGCGAGCAGTGTATAAGCCAGAGCCTGGGTGCTGGAGATGGTGACAGCCCCAGTGCCAGCCATGCGGTTATGTAGAGGGGTGGAAGGGTCCTGCCCAGCCCTGTGCCAGCTAAATCCTGCCAGGGGTGAGCGGGAGCACTGCTCGTTTTCCTCTGAGGCTGCAAACCATGCAGGCACTGGGAGAAGCAGCCTCACAAACATTTTGGCACCGGTCCCAAGTGTCCAGTTTAATTTAAAACGGCTGCGGAGTTCTCTGTTTAAATAAGCTGATGTGTGTTTGGCCTCTCCACGTGTGCCTCTGGTGCTGGTTCCTGCATCACAGGTGGCTCTGGCGTCCTTCCCGAAAGCCCCGCTGCACGGCGTGCTCTCCAGGCTCGTGCTCCTTCGCACGCATCCTTTTACCATGGCAGGGGGATGGCCGGGGCTTCAGCACCGAGTAGCTCTGAGGGATGCCTGGAGCCACGGATGTTTGCTCTGCCTGCGTCTTCCCCGCCACGCTCACACTTCTGCCCAGGAAAGCGTGGATGCTGAGGTGCAGACAGTCACTCCTAATCACCTGTCAAGTTTTGGACTAGCTCCTTTGGCCTTCCCTCAAGCATTAGCCGTGTAGGAGTCACTGGAAAGTTTGCCCAAGAAAAAAAGGCAGGATAAAACCAGAAACTTAAATTATTTGATGTTTTGTTAGATAGTTACACAGCTGTTTGTTTATGAAAAACACAGTTTTTCAAGTCTGACTTTTAAAATAGTCTAAAAAGTCTACCTTGATTTCCCTTTGCCTATTCTAGCTTTATAATTTTATTGGCTTTATACATATTTTATCAGCATTTCCAGTCAATACACTTTTACAGAGCCATTTACCATTTGAACATACACATTTTCATTTTTTGTGTTCAACATTTGCATTTATTTTTCTTAACCAGCTCTGATGATTAATGAATCTATTAATTTGCAATATTCATATTCCATCTATACACCCTAAGGAAAGCAATAATTCGTACTGGCAAGGTAAGGATTGTATAGACTGAGCTATCTTCCTCTAACTAGAAATACACTTTATATAGTGCTGTTGCAAAAAAAAAAAACAACCCAAAAAACAATCCTCCAGAACACAGCATACTTTCGAAAATGCTGTGAGTTTCAAATCATTGTTTTGGGATGTTTGCTCTGCCTGCGTCTTCCCCGCCACGCTCACACTTCTGCCCAGGAAAGCGTGGATGCTGAGGTGCAGACAGTCACTCCTAATCACCTGTCAAGTTTTGGACTAGCTCCTTTGGCCTTCCCTCAAGCATTAGCCGTGTAGGAGTCACTGGAAAGTTTGCCCAAGAAAAAAAGGCAGGATAAAACCAGAAACTTAAATTATTTGATGTTTTGTTAGATAGTTACACAGCTGTTTGTTTATGAAAAACACAGTTTTTCAAGTCTGACTTTTAAAATAGTCTAAAAAGTCTACCTTGATTTCCCTTTGCCTATTCTAGCTTTATAATTTTATTGGCTTTATACATATTTTATCAGCATTTCCAGTCAATACACTTTTACAGAGCCATTTACCATTTGAACATACACATTTTCATTTTTTGTGTTCAACATTTGCATTTATTTTTCTTAACCAGCTCTGATGATTAATGAATCTATTAATTTGCAATATTCATATTCCATCTATACACCCTAAGGAAAGCAATAATTCGTACTGGCAAGGTAAGGATTGTATAGACTGAGCTATCTTCCTCTAACTAGAAATACACTTTATATAGTGCTGTTGCAAAAAAAAAAAACAACCCAAAAAACAATCCTCCAGAACACAGCATACTTTCGAAAATGCTGTGAGTTTCAAATCATTGTTTTGGGGGACTTGTTGAAAATCGATATGTGTATCAACACCACCAAGAAGAACAGTACATGTTATCTCAGCCTTCCATCGCTGCAGCTTGGAGATCATCTCAGGCTTCCACTGTAGCAATATTCCTGTTATACTCATTGGCAGATACTATCTAAAGCTGGAAAAAGTTTTCAGTCATAGATAAAAGATTAATGGCTGCGCTACCACAGAACACAGTGTACAAACATTGTACCTACTATCCCATGCACTCTGCAAAGTACATGGCTTTTGTTAATATGCTACAGAATATAATGGTAATATCATCTATCATGTCTGCACTTTTGTGCCTAGGTAGGCACTCTGCCAAAGTTTAATGTGGTCTCTCTAAGTTAGAGACAAACCTGTTGCCTCATACTTTTCCTCGAAGCCAGACAAACACAACTGATCCTAGTCTGGAAGCATCCATTGCCCTCAGATTTCTCGCTTTGATGTTGACAGAATATAGGACTGGGAGATAAACCTCCCTACTGTCCATCCCAGTGACTCAAAGAGGTCAAACACCTCTTTAAATCTATGATTTTATACAGAAATGTGTAAGGATGGGTAAGGCAACACTAGCAAGGCAAAATGGAAGTGTGCACTTTAAGATTATTCAAATACTGTGCAAACACTAATTTTTTAGGCTATCAGGCTGGATAGGGCACCACTTGGGCATCACTTTATTTGAAGTGGAGGAAGGGTGACATTGCGTGGGATTCGTCTCACCTGACACAAAGTCATGCGATTTGTAGGCAGTTGTGCAGGCTCTCTGTAGTTAGCTTAGAAAGACAGACACTTCAGGAGCTCTCTGGGAAAACTGGGCAAGAGAAATACTGTCCACGAGGGCAGTCTCATGGGAGTAGTGCAGTGTCTCAGAAGATTAACAAGTAGTAATATTTTTGCATGTGGTATTGCTTGGGCTACCAATAGTGCTTTTATGTATCATATTCATAAAAACAACTCAGTCATTTATATGTACCCAATAGCTCTGGAACAAACATGATAGCTCTATCAATCAGGTTTTTTTACAACTAGACCAACTCTATAGCTAGCAGATGTTAAGAGTCAACACCATTTTTTTAATTTATTGTTGAGTTACAAGCTGGAAGTAGAAAGAAGTTTTCCTCTGTCGCAGTGCGTGCTCTGCACATGCCAGACATTGGCTTCTTTGCCATTGTTTGGATCCGCCTGTGTAGTGCTTAGTTTTGCGGATGAGAGAATAGTCAATGTAGTGTATCTGATTTACTGGTATCCTCACTAAAAAAATCTAGAAGAAAATTTTTCAAAAAAGAATCCTCTGATAGAATAAAATGGAGACCCTAGAAAGCTTCAGTTCCAGTGTCCTAATAAGTGAAGAGTTATCAGTGTCATCAGAATGCCTCAGTCAGCAGAACTGGAATCTGTATAATAAAGTCATATTGAGCACTGTTGGGATAAGAACTGATTTTTAAAAATACAGCTGTCAAGCTTGCTGAGAAGCGGGACAGAATTATACAGAAGGGTGGGAGGAAAAGAAGCAGCTGGACAAACAGTTCAGGCTTGTTTTATTTATCACTCTCTAAATGCTATCACTTCAAGAAAATAGGACCAGCAGAAATATAGAGCTGGCTTTATTAGGCAGAGTCAGGAAATTTGCATTCGTGGCAGCTCTCCCAGGACCAGCCCTCCCTACACTGCTCAGGGTGCTCAGCAGGTCCCTGGGGCTTCTGCCTACCGAGGATGCTGCTCCTTGCCCCATGTGAGCACATCACGTTGCCCTGCCGAGGGACAGTGCTGGGTGGGAAGGAGCACATGATGGACTGAGTATGGAGGAGGAGAGACCACAGCTGGGAAGGTGCTTGAATTAGGGCTGCCTGAGGAAGAGGTCTCCTTGCTGGCCAGGAGCCAGGGGGTAGAAGGAGACACAACTGCTGCTGTCACCCAGAAGGTCTCTCTCCCTCTCTGTTTTGTGGAAGGCCATGATTTCTCATCTGCAATGATTGCTCTTGTCAGCTTGGCAACCCACTCAGCTGAAACGCTTTGTGCATTTTTCCAGCTGTGAGAAGGGTGCGCCTGTGTCCCTCAGATCCAGTCCCTTGCGGTCATAGGTGTCACAGCTGGTAAATCCAAAAGGGTCTGCAAGAGCTATTCAATCTCTTCCCCCTTCTCCTGCATGCAGCATTTATCCTTATTTCTCTAAAAATTTTGTAAGAAAGACAAAGCAATTCAGAGATCACAGTATGGCATAAGAAGAGACCTGCAGAGAATACAAGTACTGCAGTGCCTCTGCCCCCTCCGCTGCCGTGATCCGCGCTCCAGGGCAAGGGGACTTCACTCCCTCTTGTCACGGTCAGGGCAGGAGGGCAAGGCTGTACTTCCATGTTCCTCAGCTGTGAGAGGTAACAACACATCCATCGTCATCCGAGGTAATTGCTTACGGGTACACATGGATCGGTTTCCAAATTGCATGTCTAGAAACTTTGCTCTTGGAGCCACATGAAGAGTTATAACTGGTTTACAAAATGGAATCAAAGACAGAAACCCAACGAAGTGGAGAATGGAGTGGAGCTTTCCTAAATGCAGCTTTGGCTCACAAGGTTGGGCCGGGCTTGCCCCCTGCTGGGGTGGCTACTGCTCTTAACCACTGCTCTTGGCCAAAGGGAAAAGTGAGCGAAAGTGAAATGAAAAGGTATGGCTGCCACAGCGCAGCTTGCACATTCAGTGCCACTGCTATGTGACTGCACCAAATGAACCCTCACCAAACGCACCTGGCAGGGAGAGTGAGGTGGGTAATAAAACCCTCCCCTGCCACGAACCCAACAGTCTGTGCAAGGCACAGGGCAATGCTCTGCTCCTCCTGCTGCCCAAGTAAATCTGCCTTGCTAGAAGGCCATGACATCCACAGTATATTTCCCTTTTTTTTATCAGGAAGAATATTACCGGCATGAATTACATACTACATTCCTATCAAATTCAATTCCTAGCAATTTCAGCGTGACCTGGAACCATTTCAAAGGGATTACGTGAAAGATTAACCTGGGTAAAATATGAATATAAAATACAATTCAAGAGAAACTGTGCATGTTGCCTGCATAGGGGAGCACAAAACTCAGCCCTCCTCAGAGCTTCACCGTCAGGAGTGGATGGGACAACGAATTCCCTGCTGTGACTGGAGTTAAAGCAGTAGGTCTCAGGTCTCGGTATGTTTTCCAGACAAATTGATTTGCTTTTATGCATTATCACATTGCGTGTGATGGTCATCGTGAGAAAGATATTGCTAGAAGAGGCAACAGTTGTTTATTGAAAAGGACAAGTTGTCACAGCTTGTAGAGGGGGGGTTCTGTTTGTCTGTCTGTTAGCTTTAAGGTCCTCATTTCCTTTCACAGGGTAGAGCTTCCTCAGGTGAGGAAAGAAGTGTGAGAAGCCCTAGCTGAGTGAACAGACTAGATTATCATGGCAGTCCTTCCTTCTTTCAGAACACAGATTTCTATCTAGTATGAACTAATATAAGTTCAGTGAAATAAGTGGGAGTACATCTGGTAGTTAGTTGTGAAATCGCCAGGCACAAAATGAATGGAGCATTGAATGTGTTCTCCAACATTTTGCTTCTGGGCCCTTTACTCCAGAATATGATTTCACCTTATTTACTTTCTAACATCCTCTAGCAATTTCTTCTTGGCATCAATGCTGAATGTTGTTGGGGGTTCATATACTGAGAGCTGGTATACAGCGCCCACAGCTGCAGGTGGGAGGAAGATCCGATCCTATGTAGCCAGATAATGTTTCACTTTTCCAGTTAGGAATGACGTAAGTATCAAAGCACAAAAAGAAAGCTGAATGACGTCATTTTATTCCAACACTCAAAGCTAGACACGGCCTCAAACTACAGTGACTTAGCCATCAGTGAGCCAATACACAGCGGTTCTGCAGATCTCAGTGCAGCCCAAAGCAGCGTATACTCCTTTCAAAAGTCCATGGGGTTATTTCCATGCCTAAAATACATGCTGAGGTGGTTTGATATCAGGTAGACTTAATGGGAAGGAAATCTGACAGGCACTGCAGTTTTCAACTTGTGAAATCATTGTTCTTTAGGATGAATTTTCTGTTCCTCAGCAGAAAATCTAGCTGTATTTTGTTTAACAGGCATAAGTTACCACAGGAAATAATGAGTTGTGACACAAAACCTGACAGACTTCCCAGGACAGCTGAACCTGTGCTTTTGGCCACCTCTAAGTGTCAGCCACTTCCATTAGCAGTTGAAAGACTTGTGCTCACCCCCACAATTTCTTGTCTTCCCTTTGACTTTATTAAGTCTTGGTGTGACAGTCAGCCACCTGTAAAGCAAAGGCTGGCTACCTGCTGGTTTGATGCCGCAGCTGTAATACGTGCTGGGGAACTCAACAGCTGCCCTAGGAAAGCAGCTCTGGCTCAACCAGGAGATGCTGGGCTGCTGCCGAGCCAGGGAAACAGTATTGACTGGCCAGGGTGCAGGCAAAGAGGCTGATAGAGGTGCTGACAAGGAGGAGAGAGATGTGCCAGGGGAAAATACTGAGTCCAGAAGAACACAGTTATTGGTCCTAAGCAGGACAGCAGAGAGAACAGCAGGAAATTAATTACTGGAGGAGGCTTTTCCTCCTATGGCTGTGTACAGAGAACAGGAATACTAAAAAATTCTCAAATCTGCAAGTCTTAAAGCATGGCAGAAAGAGTAACCATGGTACGCACTGTGGGCCAGACCCTGCAGCACACATCTGTACATTAAGGAGTGATTTGCAATCATATGAACCAAGGACCTTGGGGCTAATAAGCATTAATGAGTGGAGTGAGGTGCTTCTGCATGGATGGCTTCAAGTGTTACTTTGAAGAGTGCTGTTGGAGCAATTAGTTCAGAACAGGTCGCTGGAGACAAGCAGGCAAGTGGAAAAGCTGGGAATAGGTGGCTTGGGAGCGAGCAGGAGAGTGGCTCTGTAATCACCCCCATGCACTGAAGGGTGAGGACCTCGAGTCATGGGGAAAATTCTGTGATCACAGGGCTGCCCAGCAGCCACTTTTGCAGAAGTAGCTGAACAGTGCATGGAGTATACATGAACTAGGACTGTTAGTGCCATAGTTTTTTAATTCAAAAACTATGGAAGCAGGGAAAGCAGAAGCCTTGTAGTAAATTGTCCTATGTATCAAAGGGGCTGTTGCCACATGGGGAGGATATCATGAACAAAATTGGGGTCAAAGCAGAAGGTAGAGACCCCACCCAAGAGACACCTCTGACATGCACGTAGGAAAAGGCTTGTGCAACCTCAGGATCCAGAGACTCAATCTCTCTCCTGAACAGGAGCACTTCTGTCTGGGAACTGAACCAAGTTTGGCCAAGTTTTTGAAATGCTCTTCTGGCATCTTTTGTGCAGATAGCCTCATAGTTGAAGCTCTTAACCACAGACACAGAGACCTAGGTCAAAGACACCCCTCCAGTTGAGGGTCTCAACTCCTCAGCCTGTTTCCCCCAAGGTGCTCCAATGATTAGCCCTAAGCATGGCCCTGCTGCAAGACTCTTCCCGGAAAACTATGATACTGTAGAGAAAAAAGTCAAGACTAAGTGTGTCAGAAAGCAAAAAAGGTCACAGAAGACAAGACTTTGTGATTCGGAGCCTGTTGTGTCTCTCAGGGATGTAAACTGCTGTAAAGATTTGTGGGGTAGGTTTCCGGGTATTCCCACAAGAGGTGGACAGTCACACTGCCAAATGAGCTCACTTTCCAGGCACGCAAATCCTTCAATCCATCCTGTCCAATGCTTGCTTCCAATGTGAAGGGGAAGGTTCCTCCATCCAAGACAGGAGGGGGGGCATGGGGCATTTGTTGTTACGACATTTGACTTCTGGAGAACCACTACCTGTACTGAAGCCGTACTTCCTGGGAAGTGGATGGATGTCGCCTACTGATGGGAAGTAGAGAATAAATCTTTTGTTTTCCTTTGCTTCCAGGTACAGCCTTTGCTTTTGCTTTATTAAACTGCCTTTATCTTGACCTATGAAGTTTTTTCCATCTTATTTTCTCCCCACCCTGTCCAGCTGAGGAGGGGATTGATAGAGAGGCTTGGTGAGCACCTGGCATCCAGCCAAGGTAAACCCACCACAACAGCTATACAGCAGTCTGTTTCCTTACTTTCCTGTTGGGCACATACATTTTGGTTTAAACTTGTTGAAAATGTTTAGATTTATATACCCTGCCCCCCCAAATGTTTAGTTTCATAGTTTTTAACTGCAGCTGGCACACCGTGTCTGTGCTGGATTTAGCACACTGTGGCACCAAGCACCATCTACGAGCAACGCGTCCTGGGTGTGGAACACACAAGTGTATCTTTCTTCAAACGATATGCTTTGTGGAGTTTAAAACGCATATATTTCCTTATGTCCATTTAGGAATATTTCCTTCTTTGATTTTCCCTTTCATTTGTCCTTTTAAATGTTCTTGAATTCTTAGTCTGCATGGCTGCTAGTATTTGCATGAAGAATTCAATGAACAACAGAAACTTGGAGACTGAAAGAGCATTTTTTCTGCTCATCTTCTTCCATAAAAATGGTATTTTCCAATAAAAACTGGGCAAAGAACATGCTGATACATATTTCATACACATAAGCATTTTTTTCATTATAAAAACCTAGAATGAAGTGCTAAAATTTTTTTGATATTATGACCAAGTATTTAACATGTTCATAAAGCAGGTTCCATAAATCCATGGGTTTTATTTACATAAATATAAATGCATATAAAATATTTAACAAATTAAAAAATATAAATTAGGCAACCCAAAAGCTTGATATATTTAAATTTCAGCCAAATTCTGAGATTTCACCACGCTGCAAAAATGCCCCTGGAAACAAGCTTCCACTTAATGGCATGAATGTTTCGCAGACTTCCTTTGAAAGGTAAGATGATAAAAAGAAATACTGTACCAGTTGGATCAAAGTCTGGAAAATAATCTGGACAATTCTGAGCTGTGATTCTTCCAGCAGGCGTGTCATCCCAGCACAACCAGCCATCCCAGGTTCGGTTGCAGAACAGACCTGGACATTTAAGACGAATGCAGTAGTTAACCCACACACAGTCACTCCTGAACCTGCTCTGTTCTAGCCTCCCAGGGAATATTGCTGTCTGCAGACAATTGTGTTTTCTTTTTGCAATAAAACCCCTTGTTATCGCTATACTTTGAGTGGCATTCAGGTGCTGCAAGGTACTTGGTTTTGCTGACCTGATGTTAGTGGTGTTAATTTTACTGGAAAGTAATGTTTTTAAGCCTGTTAAACTGAACTTTGAATGTAGGGTGTGATCCTACAAATTCCTCTTTTCGATCCTTGGCTGTAAATGTGTACACTAGTGATAAGGGGGGCCTCAGTTATCCAGAGACCTTATAGACATCCACTTTTCATTCACCTTCTGCTGCCCAGCAGGTCTGAAAATCAAGCCTTTGAAATGCAAAGGTAGGAAGGGTTTGCAGGGACGTCCCAGCTAAAGGCAACATTTGCAGAGACAGGTCCCCATAAGGCTGTTGTATTGCTCAACACTAGAGATCAGTCAGATAACTACAGATCCAGTGAAATGAGGTGCAAGACTGATCTCTAACAGGTGAACTCTGCCTGCTGATGTTGTCTGGGTGGCCATGCTGGGATCCTGTCCTAATCACGGGCATGCTGAGATCCTGTCCTCATCATGGCCCTTCTGGGAAGGTAGCACTGTCAAGGCTGTGTCCCCTACAAGGACTGTTCCAGCCACAGAAACAATGGGCACACTAGGGAGGCGGGACACGGCTCATTCTTGAATCACGGGACAGAGATGTTACATGCTATGGTCCACAGAAAGTGCGCTATAAAACTGCTTGCTGTAACAGGATTTCCTGACTTGTCATGGATTCGTTGAAGTAACACATTAAAAAACCTCCTATACTTCTTAGTTATTTTCCATTTAAAATCAGTTTGTGTTGGGAACCACCAGGTTAAAGGGAAATATGGTGAGAAGATACATCTTGCCTTTTTTGCTCTGGTCCCAAGGGAGTTTCAGAATTGCTGCTATGACCATGTAGGTTGTTTTTTGAAGAATTGTATGGAAGGCACCTAATAACCACTGAAAGTTAATAAAATATAGACAGCTAATTGCTTCTGGTGCTTTTGAAATTATCTACAGGTAAACCTCTTACTGAAGCAAGAAAGCTGTAAAAAGACATCCAAATTGTTCACATTTGCACCAATAACTGTTTTAAAGTCAAAATAGTTGTGGATTCAAAATGGAAAGCATAAAATGTTCCAAGTTAATTTTTTCTAGATCAGATGTCTAGCAAAAAAAGATATTTTTATGAACACTCTTAAAAAAAAATCAAGTTAAATGTGCTAATGCTACTTGTTCACTTAATTAACCATCAGATCAGCAGTTTGTTATCTTTCCTTCAGGAATTCTCATGTTCTTCTCTAGATTTGAGATGTAACCGAAAGACTTTTAGTAATCATTTTGTAATATCAAAGAAAAAGAGGAGTAGAAAAAGTTTGCAACTTGAGCTTATATCTGAAACACACTGCAGAATGGGGTTGGTAGGAATTTCTAGCTTTAAATCCTTTGCCTTGCCTGATAAAGAAAAAAAAAATCACTGATGTTGATCTATACATTGTGGAATGTGTCTTTCAAGGTAAGTAACAGGGTATATATCCACACATATGTCCATAAATATATATACACACACACATACATAGATATACACATACATATATATATGTTTTTTAAGTGCTGCAGGAAATAAAACAGTATAAGTGTCAGAACAGAAGATGAAGAGTTGAACACCATACTGTTGGATCACTGGCTAAAAATATTACATTTTTAGATGGACAGGGAGTGCGGGAGTGCTGCACTGTCCTGGAGGGAAGGTCAGGTGTTCCCATGTGCCTGAGCTCCTAATTTTGTTATTTCTTTGGGATTTAAGGTAATTGATTCTACCTTGAAATGGCCAGTGTGTGTACACGGTCTGTTACTTCAGGTCTCCTGACACATGGCCACTTGCAGTGCTGCCACAGCTCACCTGTATTCCACCATCTCTCTGGCTCTCGAGTATGAGATACTCTGCCATTCTCTGTAGTTCATTGCCATCAGCTCTGAGCCCCAGGATTACAAAGGATTTAAACTACATTAGCGCCACTCTACAGATAGGCTACATCAGGGACTGCAGAGATACCAGGGAAAAGTTAGACACATCTAGGCTGGCTCTGTAAAGTTGTACCAGACACGGGGCTTTCCTGGGCACTTCAGTGTTAGGCGCCACTACTCCTTGTGCTGAAAATGCATATCCTGTGTACCCCTTTGGCTCATGTGTTAGGCTTTTCTATCAGGAGACACCTGTACGGTTGTCCTTTGCATTAATGGAATTTCCCATCTCATCCTATCCTCCCTTTCAAATTTGCAGCCAAGAGACTTAGACCCTTGTCCACTTCCCACCCTTCATGAAGTGTAAATGTTGGAGGGCTGGTGAGGATCCCATAATCCAACTGAAAACGCAGCACAGTAGTGTTGGCATCATTCCTTAGTCATTACCTTCATCCTGGGTTATAAATGAATTAAGTGCATATTGCTATGAACATAACAGTCCCCAGTGGCATCACTTAAATCTAGCTGCCGGTTGAAGGAATACAGGAACTGCTGTGCTGGGTCTGTCACCGCTGTCCTCCTGGGACAACGCTGCCCTTGGGAACACTACCAGGAATTCATAGGTCATGAGAGATAGGAATTCACAGCTCACCCTGGGAAACCATGTCAGCCCTTTGCAACTAATCACATGAGCAAGGTGCAAAAGAAAGATGAATCCAGCAGAACCATCAATGGATGCAAAAATTATATATTTATAGAGCTGGAGATTAAAAGAGCAATCGAGCAGACAGTAAGTTATTTCCCCCTGAAGCCCAGCAACCAAAGGCTGTTTATGTCTGAAACTTGATGCTTTCCTTGTTTAAATACTTGTGGGTTTTCCCCACTATTGGCCTGAATGAAAACGTACTTGAAGCAATGGGAATCTCTATATTCATTCCAAAACATTTCTGCATCCAGACATGAGTATCTTAACATCTAATTATTCTTTGAGTCTTACAGAGCCCAGTAAGATTCTGTGGTAAAGACTTGTAGAAATGTCTTTGTTCTTGTATTACAAAAAATCCCACATTATCTCCACCCCACCTATTAGGTTGGGGTTTTTTAATCATGATTTTTTAATGTATTTTCTCTTTAAACTGTGTCATCAGTATCGCCGTTCTTTACTTGCATAAATCCCAAGAATGCCTCCAATATTGTTTCTCCAGCCTCCTCATAACTTTTTCTCACAGAAAATATGGAACCAGACTGCTCAGTGCCAACCAGAAATGCTGCTTCATTTATAGTGTGCCATTGTACCACCACTATTATTTGTCATTTCCCTTTTTATTAATCTTAATATATGCCTTCTATTCAGTAAAGATATGGGCTTTATACACTTTATAAACCTCTTTTTGCTAGTGTTACTGCTGAATATAGAATACCTGGAAGATCTGTGTTGACAGCTGTCAGTCAATACGTGAATGACAGAAAAACAAAATGGCGAGTGAAGCAAACAGAATGTCATTTATATTTACAAGACCACCGTTCACAGTAAGGTCTTTGTGTGAGCTTGCTGAAAGGTCCTGGAGAATGCCATTCCTGAAGCAAGAACAAGAGATATTCAAGCAGCAAAGCACTGAGCCAGAAACACAGATGACGGAGGTACCATCTGCATGGGGAGGAAGGAAGAGCTGGTTATTCCCCGGGCTCGTTCCAGGCTTTTTTTCTTTCTTTGCACTTAGGAGGATGCTAAGTAAATGTGAATTTGACTTCTGCTTACGGAAAGGAAACTGCACCCCAAGGAAGACTATGGGTTACTATACAGCAGACAATGTTTCTGTATAGCTATACAAGCAACTGTGGCAATATACAAACAGATTTTTTTAAATCTTTTTTACCTTTTTTCTTATACGGAGGAGCTCTGTTCATCCTCTCATAGCATTTGAACTGCGAATCTATTATCTTCTGTCGTATGACTGAATTTTCATTTACTACAGGCTCTAATGTAGGATCAGTATAATTTACAGTAGAAGAAAGACTTGGAACCATTCTCTGTACAGAAAGGAAAAACTGTTAGTACAAGTGAATAAACCAGGAGGATAAAATAAAAAAAGTGAGGATCAGAAATCTCTATTATGCATTCTTCAAAGGCCTTTTATTTGCATATATGTTTAGCATTATGAGAGGCCTTATACTGCTTGCAAAGTAAATGCTGAATTTTTACTAGTTCACCTCAGTATAAACTCAGGATTTTAACCAAGCCCTTTTTCTTGGCAAAAGAGAGGACCATGTCTTCAAAATCTTTTCATTTAGTTTAGTGATCTGCAAAAAAAATTTCTATCTTCCCAAAGTTATACCCATGTATTTCTGCTCACTTGTGCTGACTTCTCTCCAGACTGTCCAGACAAAATACTCCAGTGCCACAGTCTCAAAACTGATTATTTCATGTTTATGCCACCTGCTTTGAGCTCGTTCAACTGTTAAGGTCATAGAAACACAGGGCAGAGAGGTTAAACTTCCCTACCTGGCCTTAGCTCCTAGTTAAGTACCTAAGCACAGTGACCCTAAATTTGAGAGTCTGAATAATAAAGTCTTCCTTGACCAAGTGGCATCTTCTGACTTCTCCCACTCTGAGCTGCCTGAAGGGCAAAGGGAAGGATCGTTGCCTCTGGAAGGCAAAAATCTCAGGTAGAGAGGTCAGGTCTCTTTTTGTCCATCCAACCATCCATCCATCCATCCATTGCACAGCCCAGGTCTGTGAGCCAGGGTGGAAATGAAGAGTGTGGAGCTTTAAGTTAATTCTGTCTGCCTTAAGCCTGCATCAGGACACTACTCTGCAGGAAGGCAATAGGAAAGGATTAGCTCCTCTGCTTCCCCAAGCAAAAGCAATGTTGCTGTGGCACTTCCCTCATATGACCCTCTACTTTTTTCCTAAATATAGGAAAAGTATAGTAAAAGATACTAAAGCCTTCACAAACACATACAGAGTCATTTACAGGGTGCTTCAAAACTTAGGACCCTCACAAACACACAGACGATGTTTTTAGCACCAAATACTGGTACGCAGATCTTTAAGCAACCATTTGTAGTTGTTCAAACTGAAAACATGCCAGATTTGAAAGTTCAAACATCAGCTTACTTCTTAAATTGTTGCTTTCCTTTTTTTTTTTTTTTTTTTTTATTGCACATCACAAGCAATTGTATCTCATTAATACATTACTTTCTTTTCCATTTGCACAGCTAAAACACCTTGGTCAAATACACAGCAAAACGACAGCATGTTTGACTTAGCTGAAAAAAAAAAAAGGCATTACTTTATCCTGATACTTCTGTCCCAAACCATCTCAGTTTAATCTTTTTATACTCATATACCAAATTATTTTTTTCCTAATTTCATCTAATCTCTTTTGATACTAACATTTTCATTTTGAACTGTATATAGATACTGCCTGAAGACTGGAGGACTGTGAAGGCAGTTTATCTCACTGCACTTAAACAGGTACTTGAAATAAAATGGGAGCAGTAAGAAGGAAGATACTTTCTGGCAGATACAATTTTACAAAAATGATCTTAAAGGTCTTTTCCAACCAAAGTGATTCTATGATTCTATGATTCTATGACCATGTAACCAGAAGGTCTGCCCCTTCTAGCACCCCTGAGCAAGGCAATCATGGCCCAGCTGAAGTTGCCAGCAAAATTTCTATTGCCCACATTTGGGCCAGGGATTTAGTCAGACAGATTACAAATATGGATGAAACTGTGTCACTAAAGCTCAATGGAAATTACTTCATCAGTGGAAATTGCTTAATGGCCTACAGTAAATCTAAATCAAGTTTGGATAAAGACTGGAATAATAATATTAGATTACAGCTGTCTCTTAAATTATCTTATTTTTTAATCTTATTACCAAACACAAAGACTCAGATTTTCAAAGTTGGTCGCACACAAATCTTTCCAGGAACTTTTGATGCAATCAAATAGCTTGTGTGTGAAACCAAATTAAGGGGTTATATGTAGGTGTCTTACTGGTATTTTTCATCTGTGATATGCCCTTTAAATGTACTCTTCTCTTCGATTGCTATTACTCATTTCTGTTTGCCTAGATTCGAAAAGCTGGCCATGGAAGTTTGAACAATATTTTCTTCTACCTTAAAATCAGATGACCATTTCAGCAGACTAATGAAAAATAAATGTGGCGCCTTGCTGGATGTTGAGCGGTCACACCTCTGTTTGCAGTGCTGGTGTTTTCTACCGTGCATAGGAGAATCACATGTCCACCACCACTCTGGGACTCAGAGCCTAAAGCCCAACCTCCCCGAAGTCAGTTCAGTGGGCTGATGATCCTGCTTGGGGCTCAGGCAGGCAAAAACCTTGGTACAGTTTGTGATGTCAGATATTACCATTTGTTTTAGTCTTCTTGTGCTCCTTACTGTAGGGGTCAGGAAAGGGCAAATGGGCAGAAACCTCTGGGTCATTATTCTTACAAATATCTTAAGGGTGGATGTCACGAGGATGGAGCAAAACTCTTCTCAGTGGTGCTCAGCGACAGATCAAGGGCAGTGGGCACAAACTGAAGCATAAGAGGTTTCAGTTGAACATGAGGAAGAACTTCTCTACTTTGAGGGTGACAGAGCACTGGAACAGGCTGCCCAGGGGGGCTGTGCAGTCTCCTTCTCTGGAGATATTCAAAACCCAGCTGGACGATGTCCTGCGCAATCTGCTCTGGGCGAGCCTGCTTTAGCAGGGGGTTGGACTGGATGATCTCCTGAGGTCCCTTCCAACCCCTGCCATTCTGTGATTTTGTGATTATTCTCTTATCAGAAGTATCAGGAGCTTGGGCACGGCTACATGGGGCGCAGGAGGGAGAACTTAGTGTGTATCATGCTAATGGGAGAGACTGGGAATGTCCCACAAGTGTCTGTGTGTGTGCTCTCATGGCATTAATGATTAGGACTCACCTCTGTTACTACATTTTAACAATCATATCTAGGTATTTTAGGAATTAAGTTTTAAAACACAGGTTTTCATCACAAAAAAGCCAAGATTAAATGAGTCACCTGGTTACTACCTGCGCTATTAAACAAATTATGAATGTTCAGAGTCCATTACTGCATGTTAAAAACTCTTCCCATCCATCCATCCATCCATCCATCAGTTACTTCAGGTGGAAATATAAATGATGTTGATACAATAAAGGAATGCTCCATTCATTTGTAAGTATTCTTTATTAAAGAGAAATAAATAATTCACAACTTAATAATCAGGATGTGTTCATAGCCTGAAAATGATTGGTATGATTTCTTCAGAAGAAAACTGTTTAAGTGATGTCCCATGCAGCAGTTTAGCAGCCGTACATATGATGTCACTCCTAAAAGTCCAAGTAAATGACGTCATACATACGACCACCAAGCCACCACGTGACAAATGACTGTTATAAGAAAATGAATTATCATTACGAAGAGAAAAAAACCAGGCTGCTAGGAATGCTGAAGTTCACTTTATACATAGAATTTATAAAGGAATCTAGAGAAAACAATTTGGCTTCATTATTAAACTATATCAAAATGAACAAGTAGTGCCCTGGTTTTCGCAAGACAGACACCTGCTATTAACCTGTGCAAGACTGTGCCCATTTCTGCAAGAGAGAATCCAGATAAAGCAAGCATAAAATTCCTTCTTTTTTTTTTCCCCTCACAAAATATTGGACATGATAAACAAGCATCCCCAAATATTTTTCTTCCACCATTAAGGACCTTGAAGTATACTGTTGACTACACATGACATTTAGAAATAGAAGGTATTTGAAGCTTTCCTTGCTTTTGTTTTTTCTCTCCTTCCACTAAATTCAGAAATTTTTCAACATTTATTGCTGAGCTCAGTGAAAATATGTTTCAAACTCTGGATGCTCTATCTGTTTGTTATTGATTTCAATAGCTCAAACATTCATTTGGCACATTTCATTTAAAACTGCTATGTATAGTCACCACTTTGTGGGTCACTAAATTCCTGTCCTTCAATATATCACACCTTTGAGTGAGAGCTCAGCATGATTTAGACTGGTTGCAGAGCCCCTCTCATACCTCAATTACATTTGAACAACTTTTCACAGCTGCTAGTGTTAGGACAGACGACTGTGATGCCTTAGGAAGGTCATTAGTGCATGGTACTCAGTAAACATAACAAGAATTACTTATCCATCACAAATGTGCTAAGAAACAGCAATTTCTTTGGGGAAATACCTTGATGTGGCATGTTTTACTTAACCACTGAATGTTAAAATTTTCCCATCCTCAATTGCTGCAGGATGGAAATTATGTCACAGTGAGATCCCATATGACTTACATTGCAGATTTTGGCAGCTGTTTAAACAAGCATGAGATTATCAGCCGCAGCAGATGAAGATAAGGCCCTTGTAATGAAAAGCATCTCATGAATCATACAGTTCTTTTCCACTGCTGCAGGATTTGTGAGGAAGCTTTACTCCCAGAGTAGCCTGATGCAAACTGAGGGCTTAAAGGAAGGCTGCAGAATACTTCATGGATTTTTGCTTGCAGCTCTGATTACCATCTTGCAAGAGGCCTCTTTAGGGCAATCAGCTGCATAGCAACGTTCTTACTTTTCAAAAAAGCAAAGATGGACACAAGAAGTCCTGATCACCCCTGAAACTGGGGTGCATAGAACTCCCTCTTGGGAAACCATGAGCAGCTTGAGTCTCAGATTCTCACATTAATTCTCAGCACCTTAAATCATCAGAAGCTTGTTTTCCTGAACTTTCTTTGTGTGAGTAGAGCTCCAGAACTTGCAAATCCGCTTCCTTACAGCTTGAAGCAACCCATAGTTACAAAGGGAAATGTGCACTTCAGAACGACACCTTTCAAAGGCATGGTCTCAGGTGATGAGACCCAGGGGGATCTCATCAATGGTGCCGGACAGCAAGCAAGGCTCTGACGAAGCATGGCAAAGAAGGCTGTGGCAGATCTTCAGCAGCTCTTCTGGCCACCGAAGGGTGGGACCTGCTCTGGATGAGGTGCTGGCAGAGCTGCTGTCTAAGCAGGAAAAGGCTTGTGCTTATGGCACCCACGCAGACACGGGTTTTAGAGACTTTTGCTGAGAGCTGCTGAGCTGGCAGGTGGAAGGAGCCCAGGGTCATACATGGCTGCATCACCTCACCAGTGCGTATTGCACACCCAGCTGGTGAGGACCAAATGGGTACACCACGAGCAGTGCCCTCATCATGGTGGCAAACGTTTTACTAATTGGCATCTGGAGTCTTGAACCTACCTCAACTGTGTTCCAAAACACACCAGTTTGTGCAGTTAACAAAAATTACATTTAGGCTTTCATATAATTAATTTTCCATGTTTTGTGAATGGGAATTATTCACAAGCCTTTCAAGAGCTGACACAATGTACCAGACTGTGTATAGTTTAGTGATTGAGGCTTGGTAACAATTTGACAGATTTGGACTTAATGAACTTGTACTCAAAATGAATTTATATTAAAATACAAACTTGATCTAATGGCCCTAATTGAGTAATAGTGTGGTCTTCAGCTGCAGCATCCATTTTGTCCTTCCTGAGCACGTTGTGGTTGGCTCAGGACAACAAAATTGGAATATGTGAGAAAAACTACTCCATCAATCCTCATTTACAGGATAAAATCAAACCACCATCTGTACGCACTAGATGACAATTCTTACTTGACAAAATCAGGAAGAAAACAGAACTCTCTTTTCTCAATGTCCAGCAAAATTGATCGGTCACACAGGAAAGGAACTCAAGCTTGTTTCCTCATTCTTTGCAGTTTGATGCCCCCAGACACACTGTGCTGACATTCCATCTTTCTTGCAGAGAGAAATGTGCACTGAGGACATGAACTAATTGCTCCAGCACACAGGGGTTCACATATTGGAGGAAACAAATCTCAGTCACATTCTGTGGCTCTCAGTACCAAAAATGAGACTGTATCAGGAATAGAGTGAACTAAGAAACGATGAACAGTTAAAATTTCTAATGGAATTCACTTTGAATTGTAGGAGACTATCTGGTGATGCTGCAAGCATTGTCATTCTACCTCCAAAAGCAAGGGAAGCCACCAAAGAGGAAGACAATAAGGAGTGAGTTATTATGGACCTGTACACAGAAGAGTAAAGTGCTATTTATTCTATGCAAAAAACAACATATGTAAGAGAGATGGTTTCTATCAGAAGGTACCAAAACCACTTGGTGACAGGTCTAAAGGCTGGAGACTGGGGGGAGAAAGGGGAGGGTGTGTGTGTCTATGGACACCTTGTAACTAGGTCCTAGGACAAAACATTCAAGGAGAGAGAGGGGATTAGTCTGGCACCTACAATGGGAAAAATGGCATAAACAAAGAGCCTGGAGCCCAGAAGAGAAAGCAAGGACCTCAATAGGTTGTGTTGCTTTGCATCGGTTTGCAGTCACCAGCTGGGAGTGCAGCACACAGATGAGAGGATGACAGTAAACCATCTAAGCCATGAAAGAAGAAGGACCTGGAGGGTGGTTTGTGGGGTGGGTAGAGAGCAGGA